TTTTTTTTTTTGATATGTAATTTTTGATAATTTCTCGTTCGCATTGACAATATATATGGATTTTAAATGATTCGGTGGATATGTCCTGGGTAAGTGGTCGGGACATAAAGCCTGAGGTTTCACCATTGGCCGTTTTGATATGCAATAAGCATTACTTTTATTCTTGAAATTTTTTCGACGTTTGTTCCTCGTTGAGAAATGGAATTTTCTTAGAAGAGTTCGTATTGTGAAGTTATTATTGCTTTAGAAGTTGAGTAGTTCATTTAAGCGAACGAACGGCTTTTCGTTGCTAAATTATCTCAGCTGAAACGAATTTCATTCTTTCTTTGATGCACTCGAAGTTGTTTTTTTTCGGTTCTGAATATAATGGTACCTCTTTCGTAAAGATTACACTGAAAAGATTCTGACAGATAACTCATTTGTGTGCATTCCTCATAATTTTAACGCTTCATCCTGTTCGACTTCGTTAATACTCGCGTTTTGCATTGTAATGTACGGAAATAGTTGAATGCTGAGTTAATTTCACTTCGTTTCAGGTATTCACTAAGCGTATTATCACTAATCAATGATAGTTCAAATCCGCTCCAGTTGACTGTTCCAGAAACGGCCCAGAGTCGCTTATTAGAAGAGAGATAGCATCTGATCGCCACATTGATTCGAAGGATTTCAGTCCATCACTTTCATCAACCACACAACTAAAAATTGATCAACGAGTGAAGATGCCTCGTGATCAGTATCTACGAGCAACGGCTAATTCGAACGCCTATATATCCGAGCAAATCCGCAACGAGATCCAACGATTCGAAAGTGTTCATCCATGTATCTACACAGTTTATGACCTTATCGAGCTGATTCCAGATCAAATGTTGCAAAACCAACTCCGAGATCAAGTCGTCTGTATAGAAGGTCAGTCAACCGTTATTTGTTTTGATGCACTGAGTTTGCATGCATTGCTATTTCGGATTTATTACAGCAGATATGCATGCGCATTAACTCGTATGAATCGAATCACAGCCGTTGTCTGGTCGTTATAAAGAAAGTAACTTGCAAATAGGAATGAAAGTTGCAAATATTGCTTTTGCTGTTAACATACAATCTAGAATCTTTTTTTTTTGATCAAGTGCTGCACCCAGCGAATACATCCTTTGCACGATGTGGGTTTTTTGCAAAATTTCAGCT